TTGTTTGTTTGTTCGTTTGTCTGTGCGTTGGGTTTGCCCGCGCGCGTGCGGGCGTGTGTGTGTGTGTGTGTGTGTGTGTGTGTGTGCGTGAGTGTGTGTGTGTGTGACAACCCTGTTTCCAAGGGGTTCCCTTGACCGTCCATCTGCAGTATGACATTATGTCAGCAGGGGGGCAGTGGACATTCTGGAAGGCACTGCCCAACGTTTGTCGTGATATGGATTGGGGACGCTCAATTCACGTACCTGCAGACATTGCTTGTGACATCCTGTAATCGCTGTACATGGTTCGTGTTCTAGATGATATACAATATATCTTATTCTACTACACAGTGTCGAGAACCCCATTTCGAACACCGTGGAGAGTCATGCTTGAAGCTCCGTATTCGGTATTACAGCCATTACGTTAGGTTGCACCGTTGCCACAATCTACTGAATCACCACCCATGTCAGGGCACTTCGGAGTCTGCGCATTCGGTTCAGGCTGATGTGGTTTAGTCATAGGCACTCAGGTAGCAGGCAGGGTTGCTTTCCGCTGTTCGCCTTCACCATTCCGGAGCATGTGCTGACATCTCATAAAGTGCTGACGTGCAGACCCTAGGTCTTAGGCGTCAGAATTGGTTTTCGCGTAAATCAAAGCTTTCCAACTTTCCGTGTGTCGGTCTTCGGACCTGTGGTGTTCACACTGTGATGTTCCAAGTTCGGAGCCACAATGTTTAGTCTGGCAGCGCTTAGCCCACGGGGGCCCAGTCAGCGATTGAATGCTGAAGCCGCGTGCATAACTTGCCCCCGTGGCACACACAAAATCGGCTTGATGCCACAAAGCCACGCCAGTCGCTCAAGATGCTTCATGCAACCATCCAAGGTTAGGTTGCGGGACAGTTATATGAATCAATTATATGTATCTAAGATAAATCTGGCTGTGTTGCCTGAGCCAGAAGAAGGGTGGAAGAGCTCTTCTGAGTCGGTCGGTCGGTGGGTCCTTTGTGGTGGTCGGTCGGTTTCACGATTCTCGGTTGCCAAAGCCTTGCAGCCCTTACAGCCGGACCTAGGGAAAAACCATGTTTGCGCTTTTTCAGGTGTAGGTGCCTGTGGAGGGGTCGGTATGTAGGCATCTGCTCTGATATTTGCACTGTACGTATGCAGCCATTCCTCCTTGAGATACGGCTTGGGAAAGTTGAGGTGAGCCAAATGAAGGCTTGTTTTCCTGAGTGATGCAGGAGCAAGCAGCGACAGAGTCGGTTGAATCATCGTGCCACGCACTCCAGCCTGGCTCTCAAGGAGATTCAGCACGAGGCGCTCTCAGGTTGGCGGGTGGATAAGGAAATGCTAAAGGGAGAGATGCCCGTTGCAGTGCCCGCGCACGCACGCACAGACAGGCACGCGCGCGCGCGCACAAACACACACGCGCACACACACACACACACACATATATATATATATATATAGTATACAGACATACATAATCATATACCAGTTCATAAATGTAGAGTATGTACATATGTATATACACAGACATGCTTATTTGTATACATGTATATATATATATACATGTACATGTGTATATATATATATATATATCGTGTTTCATTTATCTTGCGATCTAATTGTTGTTTTGTTGATTTGTTTGTTTACTTATTCATTCATGTATGCATTTTTTACACATTTGTGCATCTGTTTGCTCATTGTTTTATTTGTTTTATTCATTCATGCATTCCTTTCCTGATTTTTCCACATATACAAGTTCATTCGAGGACCCGTGCGTGCACACACGCACACACACACACACACACACACACACACATGCGTGGGCGCACATGATCAAAGGAAGATTTGGACTAGACAAACGCATACACACCCAGGCGTGCTGACATGTGCTGACTCATGCCGTGGCGGTGTTGTCACAGGCAAGACGCGCCGCTGTGAGCAGCCTCGACCGAACGTGGTGGCAAATTCGGGCCAAGCTGGACAGCTATTTTGAGGCAGTCCCAGGATTTTGTAGGACTATAATGGCCAATAATGGGTAGTAATGGTTTAGGGTCTAGGGCTTAGGGATATTACAATGGAGATTATGGTAGGGATTAGAGCAGGGCTCAGAGTAGAGACAGCAACCAGCCTGTTGCCGTCGTGTTTCTCTTCTCACAGAGAAGTTTGCCGAATTAGTATCCGGCGCTGCTATGGCTCCACTTTTGCTGTTTCTCTTACTTCTGCCTGACCTCATCTATACTACTGGGTCCTAGAGCTGCTGCTGCTGCTATTTGCTGCTGGGGTTGCTCCCGCTGCTGCTCCTTCTCCCAACACAGGTGCCGCTGCTACTGCTATTACTGCTACAACTGCTACTGACACTTCTGACTCCTGCTATGGTACTGTTGCCGCTGCTGCCAATGTTATTATTGCTTCAAGCCTCCACGCTGGGAAGGCCATGGACAGATATTGGCAGACCTTTAAGGCGGCGCTGGTGAGTTTGGACGGCTACACTTCCAGGCCTGCATATACACATATACATACATACATACGTACGTACGTACGTACGTACGTACGTACGTACGTACGTACATATGTACATATACGCTGTCTGTGTATACATCATATCTCGCTATTGACATCGATAGATATATACATATCGCATGTATGTATGCATGCATGCATGCATGCATGCATGCATGTATGTACGTATGTATGTATGTATGTATGTATGTATGTATGTATACGTGTGTGTGTGTATGTATATACACGTTATATATATTCTACCTACAGTGACATAGATACATCAATGCTGTGGTGTTCATCTCTGGGGTTCACAGTCCATTTTGGGTCCATGGCTAGGAATTTATCATGCTGATCTCTCAAGTGAGGCTTTTTCTGCACAACATGTGTAAGGTAACAACATGCGAAGGTGCTCTCTCTCCTTCCCCGAGTTGAAGAAGTCCTACCAGAATTTTGCCCAGGTCGACAGAGAGGCGCACGACAAATTGAAGTTAATTTCATTGGATATTTCGAAAGAGTTCATGGTTGCACGCAGATCTTGATTTTGAGGTTTTTCCTGAGCAGAGCTCGCATGAGTCCTCCGCATGTAAACCACTGTCAGACATTGTCACACTGCAAGAACTCTGCTTCTAAGCAACAGTTCAGGCTCACGAGACACTGATGAGCGTGTGGAAAGCAGCGACTGCCTGCAAAGGAGATTTTCAATGTCAGCTCGTCCTGAAACTTTCTCTGGAGCCCTTATGCCTTGCATGCATGCCTCAGGTGAACCCTTTGGTGGGTTTCCTGGCTTCTGAAATCGTGGACAGCCAACTTCTAGAGGCTTTTGCGCACGACCAGGAGATCGACTCTCGTGTGTTGGATGGCTTGAACCGCGAGCTTGCAGGGAACTCCACGGAACCGAAGGACTTGTGTCGTTCTGAGGAGGCTCGTATTGGCTGCAACGAAGTAAACCAAGGTAATGCCTGAAGCCACAGTCAGGCGATGATCTGAGGGTTTGTAAACATGGTGAATGCCCAAATCCTCTGGTACCTTAGGCTACCGCTAGAGTTCAGAGTAGAGCCTGCTTTTGTTCTAAGCTTCTTTCGCCCAGACTTCTTGTGACTTCTGAACAGGCCAAAAACCTCACGTTGCAGATGTTGAAGAGAGAGCTGATGGACGGACTTTTCGGCCAAACCGTGGAGCAGCAGCTGGGACCTGGGATCTCTAGGCGCTTTTACGACCAGAAAACAAGGTTTGGAGCAGATTTTCCTTTAATTACCCTTTAATTATGCCCAATTACTTTCTAATATCTGCATAATGCCTTTATTTGTATGAGATGTTAATCCTAGATAGATAGATAGATAGATAGATAGATAGATAGATAGAGAGATAGATAGATAGATATACACGCATGTACTTGTATTTCATAATACGTCGTAGGAGTTCCGGAGAAGCGTGTTCCAAGTGAGAATGAGAAGGTGTCACCTTGGCAGTCTTGCATCAAAATCTTGAAAAGAGCTCGCCCCACACCACTGATCACGATTCTAATTCTAATCTATGTTACTCTTAGTGTCATCCTCATTGTCATTGTCTCAGCATAATTACCGCTATCATCGCGAATCCTACTGTTGTTATTAATATTTTTAACTTTTTGTTCCCATCATCATCATCCTCATCATCTTGAAGAAGACCGAAAACACACCAAGGCTTTCGGTCCTCTTTGCAGAAACGGGAATGTTGGAAGATCGATTCTTGAGCAGCAACCTACCTCCTCCAAATGTGGACGTGCTCCGGGACTCCCAGACGAGGCTTCAGGAGGCCGGTGGCATGCGAGCTTGTCAGTCTGAGCTCCACGTAGAAGGATGATGTATGGAAGATCTGTGGATCATATAGGGACGGCATAAGTTAGGGTCCGGAATGGTTCGGATATGTTTTTTTTAGGAGTTTGCCTAGGCGCTCTTTCGCCTTGACATTTCAGGTTCTACCGGAAACTCGAAATCACTCGTCAAGGTCAGCGCGCTTGCATTTTAGGAAAACGCCTTGAAATGAGCTCACTTCTGCCATAGTAATTATGTCATAAACTATGTGTATGCACAAGCGACGCTGGCATAGAATGGAAAGTCGCCATCGCTCATGGCATAGTTCACGGGCAAGTTGACCGAGCTGAATTTCAATCCTATGTGCCATGCCTGCTGTTTAAGACAAGGCTGTTTTTTTTTCTGGTTTTCGGGCGGACAACACCGGGCAGCCCCCAACTCGCTTGCAATTTCCCACAACTCGCCCGCAATTTGCCGCGACCCTGGATTTCCATGAGTTCCTGTTTTAGCCCGCCTCGAATTTCATAAAACGCCTTCTTTCTTGCTCTGATAGCCTGTGAAAAGGGCAAATTTGGTGTGGACCCATGCCAAAGGAGTGAGGCTGTGTGCACTTGCCTGTTGCACGCATTCCCCATGTGGAGCCTGAGCCTAATTGCCCTTCAGCAGAATCAGGAGTGCGCAACGTCTGCAAAGGAGTTGGCGCGTTAGGAGTTGTGTATTGTGAGGCCAGGTCCTTGGGCTTTGGTGCCCGGCAAAGCTCAGTCAGGGTGGATATTTTTTGTTATGGCACGGCACCATACATAAGAGCTCCTAGATACGCTGTAGTTCCAAACAACACCTGCTGTTGAATTTAAATTTCTTCAATTGGCACTGGAGTCAAAGTGCACTTTAGGGCCCCGGCGCAACCACCAGCACCACTACCAGCACCAGCAGAGCAGGCAGCAGAAGAATTACGTCCTGCATCACGCAACAACGGGCTTTGCTGTTGGGTCTTTGGATTGGCTAACTCATGTTAACCCTAAGGGGAAACTCTTTTGACAAAACGTTCCAAACATGCGAATCGACAGAGTCGAAACTTGTTCGCAAGTGAGGATGGATGTCGCGCATGCTTTGCATAAATGTGTATGTTTGGAATTTTGGAAGTCTGTCCGCCTAAGCTGTAAGGCCTGCGTAAGGGTCAGCGCGAGCAGATGTCCCACACATGGGGCTTTCCAACCTGGAAATCGAACTTTGCCAGCTGGAGTCGGAAGGGAACGGGACCTTCCCATCCTCATGACAATCATCCCCTGATCATCCTCTCGGGGGGACCGCCAATTGCGATACACCACGAGACCACCACATCCATCCCTGACGGGCGAAGGCATTGGATGACGAGCTCGCAGCTCTGCCCAGCAGAGCAGAGGCCTTGTGGCAGACCTGGAGCACATTGCAGTGTGGCACCATCAATTTTGCGACTCAGAGCGGTGCTTTCCCAAGGTTTTGTAATTGTAGGGAGTATAGGGTAGACTTGCTTTTAAGGAGAACTCGTATACTGTTATGATTCTAGGAAGTACAGGGCGAGTACAGGGGTGGATTGCGATCATTGGGATGCCTCGGACCTAATGCATGAGATTGCTGGTTGGCAGCATGCCTGGAAGTTCCCGCCGGCACGCCTTTTTTCATTTATGTGTGTGTGTGTGTATTTATCCTTTAGTACATACAATAGAGGGCATAGGCACCCCAAAACTTCATCTTCTATTTGCTTAAGGACGGTTATACTGGCATAATGTTACATGTCACCATCATGTATCGAAGCAGCAAATGATGAATTATGAAACTTCTTAATCTAATCTAATGTGGCATGAACTCCGTGAGCTGCCTTGCGTGCCCGAGGTGAGAAGATGGATTGGAGACTGGACGCGATGGTCTTTCCGGGCAGAGCTGCCAAGAGTCTGAACCACGATTATTAGGTTCACCACTGGCTCTGCCATAAGCGCTGGAGTCAGGAGCTTGGCTGAAGGGATTCGGGGGTTCGCTCTGAGCCCTCGTTCGGTTCCCAGCAGAGGCTCTTGCAGGCTGGATGCAAAAAAAGTGCATTGCAGTCCCTGCTCAAAAAACCCATTGGTAGCGAATAGTAAAACTCGCCCCCCAAGCCAGGTTTCAGTCGTCGCATGAACATGTTTAGGGTAAGCGCCAGTCAAGAACCACGCAGGTTGTACGTAGCAATTAGCTGTATCTGCCAATAGTGCAGGAGCAGATTGCTAAACATAGCAAAGAGGAAATCTGCCAATAGTGCAGGAGCAGATTTTGTGCACGGACTCCAGAAACAAAAGCATGCTCGTCTGCTCATTTTTAGGACAGTCCTGGCAACTTGCGCTCCAGGATGTTTGTGAGTGCATCCTGCTGAGTACCAGTTCACACTCATGATGCTCAGAATTGGCAAGCCTGCAAGATACACAAGGCGGAGCCGCAAGATTAGCACGGGTGATGCCGTCAGCACCTTGGGTTTTGGGAAGTTTAGGGCTTAGGATTTTATGAGCTCCTTTTGCAAGAGTTTCTGCCTATTTTGGGCTTATCTAGGGTGTTTCGGGTTTGCGTTTATAAGCTCCTTTTACAAGAGTTTGTACTTATTTGGACTTATATTGGACTTCTGTATAGGGTATTTGGGGTTTGGTGTTTATAAGCTCCTTTTACAAGAATGTCTCTTTATTTTGGACTTAAATTGGACTTCTCTAGCGTGTTTGGGGCTTGGTCTTCATGAGCTCCTTTTTCGTGGGTCTCTATTTATTATACTTTTGGACCTATATTGGACTCATTTTGGGTGTTTGGAGTTATTGGGATATGTTAATTGGGGTTGAGGAAGGTCTAGGGTGGGATGTGAGGGGCGGGGGGGGGGGTGTAGGATTGAGGAAAAAGTCCTCGTTTTGAAGGAAGGCTTGGTGCAACATGGCGGGTTCAGGGTTTAGGCTTTAGGGTGTTTTTAGGTCTTTTGGGTTATAGGGTTTCGGGTTTAGGAAAGGAAGAGGCGAGGAAGAGGAGCCCTAAACGGGATTGTGGTGTGCCCATGCGCTTCCATGCATGTACTTGAGTGAACTGCCTGGACTGCGCTGCACTCTGCACTTTTTCAACTGCTGGCTCTGATGGGTCTGTTGGTTTGCTGCCATTGTGTGAGACTGCTACTGAATCCAGCTGAAACCCTTTCAGCTCTGTCTTTGGCTCTCTGGTCATCCCTTCGCTTCTTCCTGATGTCCTGTTCGACTTCGTATTTCAGCCTCCACTTGAGCCTTAGAGCTTCCCTTCTTTCGTCTCTTTTCTTTTCCTTTTCCTTTGCCGTTGCGTCTTTCTTCCTTGTCCTGTCGCTGTGCCTTTGCTTCTTCCTGTTCTCGTGTTCTGATCCTCTTCTTGTTCGTCTTCCTCGTAGTCTTCTTCATCTTCTTCTTCTCCCTCTTGGGCTTCTGCTGCTGCTTCTTGAGCTTCTTCATCTTCTCCTTCTCCTTCTGCTTGGACTTGTTTTGGGCTGCCACATCAGCATCCCATTTCTTGTAGGCTTCTACGAAGGAAGCCACATGATCCAGCCATTGCGCTTCTGAGCCAGGGAAACTGGGGAAGCTACGGCGAGAAATCGAGTGGTCCAGCTCCAGTCTGGACCTGCTTGGAGGTTCATGGGCAGTTATAAGTATGGTTATAAGTCCCCTGATATGGCTTATAACTATAGTTACCCTACCTAAGTTACCCTACTTATAACCCCATTTATAACTACCCATGAACCTCCAAGTGCTCAGTTTAACATACCTTTGGTTTTTCATCTTTGGTCCGAGCTACGGCAATTTCATCTTGAGGCCTGAGCCTAGTCTGAGCCTCAACACGTGCTTGTGGATTCCGAGCCTGACCTGCTTTGATTCACTGTGCATCTGCAGAGGGGAACAGTGGTAAGCTGCTTGTGTAGAGTCCTTTAGGCTTCGACGGTACAAGTGGGCACTGGAGTCTACGGCCATCTCGGAATTGCTTTTTCGCCGACGCTGAGGTATCAATTTAGGTTTGGAGGCATTCCCTCAGAGCCCTTCACGCTGTCCCGATGAGCAGAGTGCACAGGGGTTCGTGCACAGGGTTGGGGCACAGATGATTTGCTGAAAAGGGATCTCAAGATCAAAGGGTGGACTCTTTCGAGATCTCTTGCAGCCGGGGCTTGCTGCCATGGCAGGTTTCGTCGCCGTACTTATTGCAGCCCTCCGGGCGATAGGGGTGTCGGTGTCGGCTATGGCAGCTGGATTTCTCGGTGCACGTCTCGGTATCATCTCGCCACAGGCGCAGAAGTCGATGGCAGATACTGGGCCGAAATTGTGGTTTTGAACAGCTCGTGACGGCTCCATTGTTCCATGCGGGTTCCTACAGCAGGGCCGGTGATGTAGATCTTGAAGCTTAGGCGATCTCCATGAACATCTTGATCCCTGCGTTGCTCTTCACGCGGATAATTTACTGTGACCAGTGCAACCAGCACTTAGCGCAGTGCACCCGCTGCAGTCGCTTCATCGACATCCTTTGTAACAGCTGGGTGCTCATTCTCCTGCCGTTCGTCGTTGTGGGAGTTGGGGTGTTTCTGGGGAAGCTGACGGCCGTGTTGACAGCTGCACCATCAAGCTTCAGCAAGGGTACGATCTGTGCTATCGCATTTGGCAACTCCACGGGCCTTCCCATTGTGCTGCTGACTGTCATTTCGCAGTCTGCGGCCTCCCTCGCTCCGCGCCTGTCCAGATCAGTCTCAGCTTTGTCCTTTTGTTCGTATACCCTCGTATAATCTCCCATTGGGAAGCTTTTTCAATCACCTTGCTGTAGGTCCAAGCAGCTCGATCCTTTGCAGCACTTGCCCGTCTACCTGATGCTCTACCCGGTTCTGCAATGGAGCATCGGATCTTGGTCACTTCATCCAGGTTTAAGCTTCAGCTCTTTCATTTGCACATCTTCAATCAAACAGTAGCTTCGTGTGCACCTGTCCAAGATTGTTCCCGCCCGAAAAAACATACGTATGGATTGATGTCGACGCAGTGTTCAGGCTCCTAGCAGACACTGCGGGGCAGCAGACAGAGGCTGTGGACACTGACCCCGAAATCTCGGAGGTAGAATCGATACCAAGTTCAGAGGCCTCACTGTCCCAGACAAGTGAGCACAAGCGCTGCCTCCGTGTTCTTCAACAGCTCCGAAGTATCTTGCAGCAGGGTTTGACTCCACCCGTTTTGGGTGCCTTACTTGGCTTGCTAGTGGGCTTCACCCCTGTTCGCGCATGGCTGGTGGATCTTCGTGACCAGGATAACGATGCCCCTCTCCAGTGGTTCTATGCAGGGTTTTACAAGCTCGGAGACGCCGCAGTGCCTGTGAACCTTCTGATCCTCGGCAGCTCGCTTGCTAAGGGCGCAGACTTCCACGCCCTCCCTTGCCGTGTGGGCTTGGGAATTGCATTCAGCAAACTGATCCTCATGCCAGGTTTTATGGTTCTTATCGTGTATGGCTTAATCCGCCTCATCCCGAACAAGGGCTACTCCCTTTGGCTTGTAGCTCTGGTGGTGTCGTGCACTCCTACAGCCAACAACGTAGCAGTAATGGCCCAAAACGGAGGCCAAAGCAAGGAAGGAATGGCCACTGCCATCTTCCTTCAGTACTTGTTTGCTCCGATTTGCGTGACGTTGTCGCTAGCTGCCTTCATCCAGCTCTTGTCATCGGATTGGTTCCTGCCGCCTGTGTAGAATTTCAGTGTGGAAAATTGCTGCCGCTGACCGCCAACCCGGCTGCCACAGCTCTTGTAGCCAAGGGGCCTTCAGCTGCACAGGATTCCAAGACTGCACGGGCTGCTTCCCGGCATCCCTCTGTAAAGACGCTTCCTCAGATGTGTTCGGTTCTGGAACTGGAGTGGCGGGTTGCGTTGGCAGCTTCTGGACCAGATGACGCATGCACGCCTCTGCTCGGAAAGGTCACTGCCGACCCCGCCAGCATGCAGCGTCTGTGCTGAAACATGTGGAAGTTGCCAGCAAGGGCTTCACCAAGGACCTGTCGCCGCCATCGCCCAGCAAAAGTATAGGGATAGGGCATGAGGAGCAAGCAACATCGAGGCCACTGAAGCTAGACACTTTCCCCACATGCCTGCCAGCTCAATCAATCTGAACAGGCAGTTAAACAAAAGAATCGAAATCCAGTGCCTTAGTTTGCCCGACACATCTGCATGTAAGCCACAGGGCCTATGGACACGCGCGAGAGGTTGAGGTCGGACCTTTCTACCACGTAGCAGAGGATGACTAGACAAGTCTAGAGTTCATACCCGTGTGCTGCCAAAGCCTGTCTGTGTGAAACAACACCGCTTGGTGGGTTTCTACCTGTTGGTGGTGCGAGCTGTGGTGGCATCTGGGCATGCCAGACCCGTTATCAGTACCAAAATCAGATTGACAGCTGATGCTGTCTATTTGGTCGGCTGGTTGCTCAACTCCCGCCTCTTCTCCTCATTGGGACTCCTGTGTACATCCCTGCGGATCACGCTGTCGACAGGCTTTTATGGACATCAATGCGTTGGTTTGGCTCTTGAGGGCAAGCTGGCATCCTAGAGACGCCAAACAATTACACCATGTAGTTTTGACAGTGGCTCGAGTCTGCTTGTGGGCCAAGGCCGTATCGGCACTAGCCTGCTATGTCGGCTTCCCGTTCACAAGGCCCAGGTTTTCACTGGCGACGGCACTCTCGGACTTGACTTCTGAGCTCTGCCACCAGGTTCCAAGACCCTGGGCGATGCCGGTGAAGAGGCCCCTCCCACACTCCGTTGCGACGTGCGTACCTTAGAAGTTGTGGCCGCTGTGGCAGGACGCCGCCACTGGCCCACTGGACCGGTCCGAGGTGCTCCACACAGGTGACATTGCCCCGGCCTCTGACCCTAAACTCCTGGGCTTGATTCGTCAAACTAATGAAGCGAAACACAGCCCTTGACACAGTGACCTCCGTGGTGTCCAAAGCTCTGTCATGGCAACGTACCAGTGGCTCAGGTCCTGCTGAAGTGTAGCTTGCTGGAGGAGACTCGCGAATGGCAGTTTCGGATGCGATGGGTATTCAAACACAAGTGGGGTGACAGTGTATCATGCTGCTAGAATCATGCCTGCGCAAACTCAGCTGATCACGAAAGCTAGTGGAGCTTGCGGGAGTTGTTGTTGACAGATTTGGGGGGTCAGTACAAAAGACAGCAGAGCCGCCGCGATTTTTTCGGAAACATAGCCGTAGCGTACATCTGCGCAACTGAAGACAGCTGCATTGCCTCATCAGATTCTTAGATGGTTTCACGTTCACCGCAGGATTCTTTCCGGTTCGTTGTTGAAGACGTTTGTAGGAGGGTAAGCAAATGTTTCAGGGTTGTTATTGTGTCTCGGGTTGAGGAAAGAGCTTTGCGGTGCGTCGTTCAGCGGAGGCCTAGGATCTGTGCACCAGTTCGCAACACAGCATACAAGGAGCAGTGCATCATTCCAACGCACATATGCAACACACAGCTGTCACTTCTCTCCCCCTGGTCCACTCTGCTCTCAAGTCTAGATACTTGCATGGAGCCATCGACCGCTCCGGGTTAAGGGTCAGGGGGTCCATTGGTCAGGGTGGCCTGCAACCATTTGGGAGTTTCCGAACATATGGGGTACCCCGGTACCCTATTTTTGGGGTCCTTATAATAAAGGATCCTACTATTTGGGGTACGATGTTAGGGTCCCCTATTTTCGGAAACCCCGTTTGAGACTGAGTTCCTCTCTGCGAACCTGCAGGACCCCTCTGCCGAAGCGCTTCGGTCAGGCCCGGACCTTCTCAGCTGCCAGCCATCCCTCGAAAGCCATGCTGCACCTTTGAGCGTCCTCCGCAGTTCCGGGCTCACATGTGATGTGTGGCACGCAGATCCCGGAGGATTAGCCAATGGGCTGTTGCGAGGGGAAGCTCCCAAACCCTGATGAGCGGCTAGCTGCAGATTCCAACTTTGCTTTCGGTTCTCTCGATCACAGAACTCAACTAGCCAAAGTCCGACCTTCTGAAGCCTCAAACTTGTGCATTCTTTTTGCCACTTTACACCTAGAACCTGCTGTTGTCAGGACACGGAGCAGTGAGTCCCTGTGGCCTTGCTTGTGATGTCGAGCTCAGGTTCCTGAAGGTGCACGCGCCCCGGCCAGGGGGGCCCTTCCTTCCATGCAACCCGGTAATGTGCTGGAAGATCCACCCATGCAATGGAAGTCTTCGGTTGAGGCACCTTGAAGTTGAAGGTCTCGCTTTTCCGCAGAACCAAGGCATGCCACCTTGCCTCAGCAAGTCTTCGTCGAAGTATTGGGTAACTCCCTGGAGCTGTTGCTTGAGCCAGATCAACCGTGATGAGGGTGTGGGCGCGCCGGAAACGAGACTTGGAGTTGATAGCAAGACTGCTGGGCTGAGCTCGCCAGTTGGGAACGCACCCGGTTCCTGCAGCTTCGCTTGGTGTTGGGGAGGTTCCAGATGCTGAGAACTCGAGACACTTCGTTGCTCAGGATTGCTGTGCGCGACGGGCCTGGGGGGGCCCTACTCATGAAGCTGGAGCTCTGCCCGCACCGCTCGTTCGGGCTGCTCGGCTCTTCCCAGAGACTCTTCGAGTCCGATGGCGTGTCGATGTACATCCCGTCACCCGTTGCCCAGGAAGTTGAGCTTCATCCGTGATTGCAACGGTGAGCTTTTGGGAGCTATGCAGACCTTAGAGAAGCACCGGCCCATGGAAAGCCAGCGCAGCAGCTATGCCATCTACGGCAAGCAGCCGCTCTCCGGCTGTCAAGCCATTAGCGTGGAAGGCAAGGGCCTCCGAAAAGTCTGCACATGAGCGTAGTTAGCATAGCATATAACCTGCCCGGTCTCAGTCAGTTCTCAAACCTTGCACATGCATACTGCTCGTAGGCGATATGCTCTATCAGTGGGCCACCGTGTCCCGGTCCCCATTCACGTTCAATGCGAAGATGCGCTTGGAAGCTCGACTTCTGTTTTGGACGTCCGACTGGCAAAGTTCACATAGTTGTCCTGCCAGCCAAGGAGGGCCACAGCAAGAGTGATCACGCCGAAAGCCCAGAGAAGGCGGCACTGTAACAAGATGACTACATTCTGAGCATTATACACCAGGCTGGAAATCGTTCTCTCGGAAGGTAGCGAAACAGTGAAACAGCCCTTAGGCCACATTGAGCCCTCCGTGCCTGGAGTATGAGTGCTGACGAAAGCTGTCGAAATGTCCGAATACTCGCAGACACCCTGCACACCTCTTCAAAGTATCAGCATGATGCAGACTAGCGCACGGAGACCTAATCCAGCTACAGGCTAGCCTTCTGAATTGGGCACTCGTAGCAAGAAGCTTCACAAGACGCTGCGGAAAGCAGGTGTGAAAAGCTTCGAAGTCAACTCCTGCTGACCAAGGCCTGGACGCTATCCATGCGGAATGGACTGCCGCCTCCCAGATGGGTAGTGAGCAACAAGAAGCGTGGCGCCGCGGTGGTTCCGAGAAGTGTAGACGCTAAGACCAGCATCTGGTTCCAGACCTGCAGAATGCTGGTGTTGGAACTAAGAAGCAGATCTGTCCTTCAGGACAAGAAGCTACACGAGTACTTGATCGCACCTGGCGTCGATCCTGGCCTGGTCGTGTGTGGCACCTTTGCCCAGCTCCTGGCACAGGACGAGCTTCTGTTGGACTGAGAGCTCGCTGATTTCAGCTGTGCGCCACTGGTTTCGGCCACTAATCCCGTGCACGACACCCCGGAAACATCCTTTCGTTGGAGGCATGCAGAATACGTGCTTGCGGTTGATCGGAAAGTCATGTGCATCGCTCAACAGGAATCGGTGTACTAGTAGTGCTGTCTTGCATTTCTTCAAGCACACCGCATGCTCAGATAGGTGGCTGGCCATGCTCTACCCATCTCCACTTGGAGGCGGAAACCGGAACTTAGCATACTCGGCGCAGATAGTCATGTTGTCCGAGCCATGTCTCGGCCTGAGCGTTAATGGCCTGCTACCTTCATTTTGTTTTTCCGGAGATAATTCGAGTTGTCAAGTCATGCATAGAAAGCTGCTGCTGTCAAATCATTGACACATAGCAGCATTCGCCGTTTGCCTCGTGCCTTGTCTGACAGATTAATCAGGCTCTTCAAGTCAGTTTCTGTTCGAGAGCTTCAATACAAGGGGTGTGTAAAAACCTGCTGTGATGTCGGAGGCAGGCTTGGGCAAGAAGCCGTTTTTGACACAAGAAAGCTCGATGGGAGTCTGTCGAACCCTCGGGAACCTGTCGAACCCTCCAAGCTTTGTCTCGGAATTCTTTGGCTAGAACTGCAGCCAAAACCTAATTCGGAACCACGCGAGAAGCGCCAACTGCACGTCATCTGGGACTTCCTGACTGATTTGCACACTCTAACATCCTCTTGAGTGCGGCCTCTTTTGACCTTTGTCTACACCGCTCAGAAGTCCCAAAAATGACGCAGTGGCTGCTGAATTTTGGGAGAGAGCATCCTGGGCTGTTTTCAGCTTGGCCTTGGACGATCTCTTCACATGTGGCCTGCAAGGTTCATATCTAGCCGTAACATCCACTTCGCAGCCAGCGTGCATTCCAATACAGGGCCGTGTCCAGAAGTCTCGGTCCAGAAGTCGGTAGTGTGCTTTTGAGTGTGAAGTGGTATACAGCTACGTCACCTTGGCACTGCTTCGCACAGTGTGGATCATGTAGATCCCATTGCATGTGCAGAGGGCCTGTGTCATGTTTTCCAGGACGCGAGGACCTGTGGGTGGAAGCATAGGGCGGACTTTTCGCCAGTGACGCAACTACCGTGTCGTTGAGCATCTCAGGATTGTTCGGTGCACGGAACGTCACTTGTGCGAGAAGCGGCATCGAATCACAGGCACCGGCTTCCTCACAGGCGATGCTGTGGAGTACGTGCCGAAGGCCCTCAGTGTGAGCATCATCTGATCGTCTGTTGGCCCCACTCCAGTTTGAGATACGCACGAGTCTCAACATCCTTCGAATCCGTGTGCATGCGCTAAAGGTTTTCGAAGCCGACGGTTGACCCTCAGGTTGAGCATGTCAGCAACTTCGCCACAGATGGGCAGCTGTCTCAGAACTACCTTTGTGACTTCGATGGACAGGGACGGGTTGTCGCAGCAGTTGGCAAGTGGGGATCTTGTGTAACTTGCCCTGCGGGTCGCGTCCTTAACGGCGCGTGCATCGCCTGATAGTGTGGGCTCAGATGAAAAGCCGACGATGAAGGAGTGCTCAGCCGCTCTTCTTGGAATCGAATTTGTAGAGATTTTTACTGGGATTCGCATCGTTAAACCTTAGTCTTTTGGACTATAAAACACAGAAACATCTGCCTGAGACTTGCGGCTCTTGGAAGAAACAGCTGCCCCTTCCGCTTAATTACCTAGTGCAAGACCCTGCACAAATCCAGCAGGAGTCCAGAGTTTCTGCAGCCTCCAACTGCCTCTGCCTCCGTAGAGCCTTTTGGGGGTTTCGCAAAAAAGGGGACCCTAATATAATACCCTAAATAGTAGGATCCTTATTATAAGGACCCCAGAATAAGCCCTTTTGAACGGCGAACCTGCAGCTGTCGGCCCTTGCGATCCGGCAAGGCTCGACTTCCGGGATTTCCTCTTCGTTGTCGTGGATCAGCTAAGCTACCGCGCACTGAAGGACCCACCATGTGCTTCGAGTCTGTTCTCGTCGAAGCTTAAAGAAGTCTGGCTTCAACAGTTCTGAGATTGTAGCATGACAATCGTGCACAACATAGTTCTAGGGATTATAATCGCGCATGCCTCAGGGTGCAGGGTCTATGGGTTGTACTTTCCGGCACAAAGGAGCATTGTCCAAGTCGTATAACACCGTATAGCCGTATATATATATATATATATGTATACGGACACATACACACCCGTCTAGAAAGAAATGTGTATATGCATCTGGATTGTACTGTATCTGTATGGATTGTCCTGTATTCTGTTGTATTGTCTGTGTTGTGTTGTACTGTATTGTATTGTGTTGTAAGGTAATGATATGTGTGTGTATGTATGTATGTATGTATGTATGTATGTATGTATGTATGTACGTATGTATGTATGTATGTATGTATGTATGTATGTATGTATGTGAATATGTACGTACGTACGTGCGTACGTAGGCAGGTAGGTAGGTAGGTAGGTAGGTAGGTAGGTAGGTAGGTAGGTAGGTAGGTAGGTAGGTAGGTAGCATGTATGTGTGTGTATCTCTCTCTCTCTCTCTCTTGCTATCTGTCTTTCAGGCTTAGTCCGCGACCGAAGCTATACTTACCATTCGGACCTTCAAGCAGTAAGCAGGGTCGCGGACCTTGTCGGAAGTTTGGTCAAGACAGGACCTTCGCAAAAGGAAGAAGCTTCTCGTGACACCCTCAGGTTCGAGTCAGCGGCTTTTATGCATTTCGAAGTAGTTGGAAAATGGGCAGCTTCCACCTCCAGCATGGGCCGCAAGTAAGTCGCATGACATGCCATCAGAAGCTTATGCAAACTTCTCGTCAGACTTGCAGTGCGGGCCTACTGCATGGTTTTTGGACGCACACAGCCGTCTCCCCAAATGAGAAGGGGGTACACGGTCCGAGTCTGCTCGACGTTCAGACTTTGGTCTCCACATGCAGTTTGCAGTTTTGGAGGTTTCTAGCCCACTTAGTTGAAAGCCAGAGCAGGCTGTCACTGCTTTGGCCCTCAGCTTTTGTATGCGAGTCGGTACCTGCAGAGCTCCCAGGCGGCCCTGGGTGGGGGAAGTGGCACCTCCTTGGCGGTGGAGCTGCGAAATCTGGAGGAGAGGGCAAGGCTTGGGATCTCCGCCAACCTAACTTCGGGTAACTGAGGAGGTCCTTGGGGGCGGCTCAGGCTTGTCGTGTGCCGTTATACCGGTTTGTGAGAAGACTTGCGGCAACTTGCGCTCACGCTTTGCGAAGCCTGTAGAGTGCACGAAGGCATCTTGACATCTTGGCCACTACCACTCCAGGGACTATGTCAGCCCAACCACAATTTTGAGTGGTGTCTGTGGTCTTGGCTTTCACAACATGTCAACATGTCCCACCCCGGCACCGGTCCCTGTGCAGGCGGGAGCATGAAGAGAACCTGAATGCCGCGGCCCCGAACCCGCTGATATTCCGGCTGCCTTTGCAGACACAATCCATGGTGTCAAGATGTCCGGCTCTTGCTGCTCAATGCCATTCGTTATTTTCGCATTGGCAAACCCTGCTTCATGTTCCAGTTGTTTGCATGGTCGTGGTATGATGAGGGTGCTTTGCTTACATCTCACACGCCACTTATTACTGATGACTTCGTCGTCACCCTTGAAGTTCTGCCACTACAGTGGCAGTGCCCAGTACTGGCGATATGGCCTGAGTTGTATGTGCTTCCATCCGCGTGATCACCATCTCCGCTTGCATCTTCTTTCACGTCTGAGTCTGAGCGGTCTGACGCCTGTGTCATGCAGAGCTGCCCAGCAGCTGTGCGCTAAAACATGCATGTTCTGTCGGCCGTCGGCCTGTGTCGCCTCGTTGGTAATCGAATCGGGTGGTTGTTTTCTTGGCATGGCATGGCTGCTGAAAGCATAGCGGCTGTGCCCCGGGCAAATCCATGGAGTCCCGAAGCAAAAAAAAAAGATGAGAAGAGATTATGACGGTTATGAGCCACCGGCATGTGACGGGCCGCTGAGACACCGTAGGCAGACAGAACAAGAGCACCGACATGTCAAGACTGAGAAGCCGACAACACTGGGCAGCGACCCTTCTGCTGTGTCAAGAGACTTTGTTTCCAAATCGGGGCGGACCTATTTTGGGTCCGCGAAATCTTGCTTCCGGATGCGACGTAATCGTTGCAGGAGAGGAGACTGGACTTTCTAAAGCCTCCAGCGATTTCCAGGTCTTGTCCGGCGTCTCATCACGAGCAATTCGATACGGTGATGTTGTGCAGCTGCGCTCCCGGCATGGACTGCACTTACTTGCAACTTTCAGACTGCGTGCGAATCTGTGAATCCCAACTCCTCGCGCCCTAACAAACTAAAGAAGGCGCAGCCTACTACTGAGGTGCACGGCGGAGCGAGAGAAAGAAAGCCTGCTTCCGTAGCCGTGTTGCTTCAAGCTTCAAGCAGCGCCTGTGCAAGCAGGTGACCGAAACGTACGTGGAGTTCGGAGCAGAGAATGGCGGTGCGGGTGTTGGTCATCCTTGCCAGCGTCTGTCATGCCCTGCATGATTTTGATGGCACCTGCAGACATTTGGTGGATCCTGGCGTCTCCGACGAAGCCGGCTTCGTGCAGGCCAAACTGTCGGCGACATCAAGCGAGGAGGAAGTCCAGCGCCCGCGTCGCCACCGACGTGGCTCTCAGTCTGCCAACGGCTACTATGGCGACAACACGGAGGCGAATTCGACGGTTCGGCGCCGTCCTCGTCGCTGGAGCAAATGGTACACTCCAGACTGGTGGGACGACCTCCCAAAGAATAAGCCGAAGCCGCAGAATCCTCCGACAAGCAACATCCAGCGAGGAAACTTTATCCACTATGTGACCAGTGTGCCTCCACAATCGCCTGAACTGCTTGGCGAAGGAGTTCCCGACGTGAGCAGCTGTACTCAGTGCGACCGCATCCTGTGCCCCAATGCCTCTGAGTTTCATCCGTTCCGAGCTTACTACCGGGTCAGCAGCAATCTATCGGAGTGGGGCTGTGACAATCTCGGCGCCTCACCCCTCCTTACGCTCTCGGAAAATGGGGACATTTTCGTGGTGCAGAGGGCCACGCTTCACTATGTTGCAGCGTGTGGTCAGTGTGGCAGCCAAGTCGATCTCTGCTCCAGCAACGTCTGGTGGCAAAACGAGCCTGACATTGAGGACCAAGAAGAGTTTCGGTCCGGGTTAGACCTCGCAACATGGGGTTGCGCCAATGTTGAAAGCTCGCCCACCATCGTCCGCAACTCAATCACCGGCGCGATCTATGTCGTGGAGTGGGGTGTCGAGGACCCGTGGCAGCTTGTTTTTCGGCAGACAATGTCATTCTTCTTCGAGAAGAGTCCCCCGCAGTGGACTTTGAATGAGAACGACACGACTGCGGACAACTTTGCGATCTTGAGCGATCTTGAGGATTTCCGGGTTGGCGGGGCCTTCTACTTCAAGCTCTGCTGGCCGACCGAGAACTTTCCGTGCCAGATTTGGTCTCAGAGCTCCAACCCTGTCACAACGACAAACGGGACGGTCACTGACTACCAGGCCATTGACGTGCCCTACACCGGTCAGTTTTGGGGCGGACTCCACTACAATGGCAACCAGGCTTTGCTGGATGGCTCCAGCGATGGCAACTCCAACTGGTGGTGGTACTCGATCGGCGCGTTCAATGTATACAACGGCGGATTTCCAGGACCAGACGGGAATATCGCCAGTCAGGTGGAGCTGTGGGTATCCACCGTGGAATTGGAGACCCCCCCGCCACCTGACCCGGTACCCTTGCTACCGCAACCTGACGCAAAATGGCGGCTCCTGTTTCGCCAAACAAACACCTTCTTCTTCAGTCCAGACCAATTGGAGGTGAACCCAGGTGATCCGACGGCACAAAACTATGCCATCCTGGACCAGCTTGATGACAACGACAAAGTTGGCGGGAAATTCTACTTCATGATGAGGTGGAGAAAGTTGGAGGACGGATCTCAACTTGAGGAGCAGATTTGGTGCCAGAGCTCCAACCCTGTCACAACGACAAACGGGGCGGTCACTGACTACCAGGCCATTGACGTGCCCTACACCGGTCAGTTTTGGGGCGGACTCCACTACAATGGCAACCAGGCTTTGCTGGATGGCTCCAGCGTTAGCAACTCCAACAACTGGTGGTACTCGATCGGCGCGTTCAATGAATATAACGGCGGATTTCCAGGACCCAACGGTATGATCGCCAGTCAGGTGGAGCTGTGGGTATCCAATGAAGCGTTAGCGATACCACCGGGGCCACCGTCCCTGCCGCTTTTGCCTGCACCCACTACAAACTGGCAGCTCTTGTTTCGCCAAACAAATAACTTCTTCTTCAGTCCAGGCCAGCTAGCGCTAAACCCATCCACCCCCTCGGCTGATAACTATGCTATCCTGGACCAGCTTGATGACAGCGACAAAGTTGGCGGGAAATTCTACTTCATGATGAGGTGGAGAAAGGAGGAGGACGGATCTCAACTTGAGGACCAGATTTGGTCTCAGAGCTCCAACCCTGTCACAACGACAAACGGGGCGGTCACTGATTACCAGGCCATTGACGTGCCCTACACCGGTCAGTTTTGGGGCGGACTCCACTACAATGGCAACCAGGCTTTGCTGGATGGCTCCAGCGATGGCAACTCCAACTGGTGGTGGTACTCGATCGGCGCGTTCAATGTCTACAACGGCGGATTTCCAGGACCAGACGGTATTATCGCCAGCCAGGTAGAGCTGTGGGTGTCCAACACTGTTATCCCGATTTCTGTCAAATGATGAGTGAGCTGGAGATCCACCGTGTAGACCAGATTGCTATCTCTGCAAAGCTTGTTGAGTTTTACTTTAGCAGTTTGCCCTTATGCTGTGTACACAGGGGATGGGAAAAGAGCTCCCCTCCTGTACACTGTAGATGCTTGTTTTGACAGAGACTGTTGCGTTGCTCGGCTGATCCCGGCGATTCGCTGGCAAACGGACGTACATGTTTTTCGTTAGGACCACCTGTATAACATCGCTGTGAGTATGTGCAATTCGGCGTACTCAGCCGACTGAAACTGTGATCGTCTCTGCTTTGTAAGGGGTCCATTTTTCCGGGCGCATAGTGTGGAATTCCTTAAATCGTATCAGGCTCCTCGTCTAGACTACTTCATGATGGGACAAGGCAAAATGGATCCGTGCAGTTTTGCTGAGCATTCATCTGCCCCGGCCTTTAAAAGGCAGGGCCCTTTAAGCTTCCCGACAAAACAGGGGCTGCAGGGCTGGAAGCACGGAGGCGGTGCCCTGCCAGGTTCAGGAGTGCCCGTTTCAAACCTGTCAAAGATCGTTCCTGCCAGGCAACATATCCGCACGGGCATGTACATGGGCGCCATGCTCTTACGACAGCAGTACCACTCCTGTGCCCCAGCCAGTGTGGTCTGGCATGCATGTGTCAGGGTGCACAGCTGTGTCTGCTTTATTCGAGCAACTCGACGTTTGCTGGACGGGTTCTTGATCACACCTTCAGAGCTTTACCACCAAGGCAAGCTCAAAGATGGCCTGTTTCATTGCGTTCCGATCGAAAGGTTTCGCAGGTTGTTGGGCAGGCGTTCAGTGCGCCTCAGGCGATCGATCGCGACATGCTTTCATTCGGCTCTGGTTGTTCAGACACCATGCCAATTTGTTCGACCTTCGATGTGTGATCGTGACAAGCCATTGATGTTAGCCCTCCGGATCTGCTGAGGATCTTTTACCCTCTCACAAAGTCCAGAAAGGAAACCATCGCAAGCAGTACTCGGAAAGACTGGGGCTTGCATGCCTTTATCACGAGGTCCGCGCAAAAGCGTCGGCGCAGGAGCAGGCGACCTCACGCCGTGTGGAGCTTCAGGCGAGTCTTGCGTGTGATTGGCTTCTTGCATCTTGCAGCAACCAGACCTTAAGATACCTCAGCCCTCAGATGTAGCCGTGAGCTGTAGCGTCGCAGAGCAGCCGGAAAGAGTGAAGGACGGAACCATGGCCTCCTGGCTCACGGTCGATGCCTCAAAACACCCAAGACCGGTCTGGCAAAAAGGCTGTAAATCAGCATTCTCCAGGTTTTGAAATAGGTTCAGAGTTGAATGATTGAGTTTCGATGCCCGACAGTCTTCACGAACCGCAGTGACTGCACATGGCTCAGGTGAACCCCTTCTTTTCACACCGAACCCAAGGCCGGCCTTCGGCTTTCATGTACTGCCATGTCATCGAAGCGGAGCCAGCAGAGCCAGTAGAGCAGAGAGGACGTAAAGCGTGAACGTTTTCACAGAGCCGCATCAGCGTGCGTGTCTCTCAGGCGAGCTGGTTTCCTTCAACGAGATGGCCGGAAGCCAAGTGACTAGTGATCCCTAGCTGCCCTACTCGCAGCCACGAGGTTGTCAGTTGAAAGATTTTCGACAGTTTCAAAACACTTCTTGCAAACAAATTGATGTAAAAAACTTCGAGTGCCGGCCCGAGGTCTCCTTGGAAAGTGCTCGGCTCCAAGAGGGCAGCGACTCTTCGAATTCGGATCCAGCGGGAAATTCTTTCGAAGAGCAGCAAGCAGTATAAAGGGCTGTGTGAAGTCGCGAAGCTTGGAAGGCCTCTGGAACGCAGGACCTTCGAGGTCAGCAGGGGGCGACCTAGTGTGTTGGTTATCCTTGCCTTCCGTTACTTCAGCTGGACCTTGGTTCCTAAGCAAACCAGCTTCTCCAATCCTCGCCAGGATGGGCAGGCGCGTAGGCCTCATGTGTTGAGGAGCAATACAAGAAGCTGCTTTGGGATTTAGATCTCACCGACAATGAGAACAGCATCCAAGAGCATACAGCATTCAAGCTCGGCAAGAACAAGCGATATACAAATCTCAGCCAAAATGGGGATGGTTTGCGCATTACACCCCCCCTGCCTATATTTATTACTTAAACATGTAGGTATTCATGCATCTGCCATCTGCTGCCACTTCTGGCTCGCAGCATGGCTTTGAGACGGTGCAAGGCTGTGCCTCGCATGTGCCTGCACCAACCAGCGGTGCAGGCATGCTAGCTGCGCCCCAGCTTCTCGTGCCAACTTTGCCGAGGTGGGCGAGGTGACGGCCTGTCGCCAGAGAGAGGAAGTTGCGACGGGTCCGCTTCAGGCCGCCTTCATTTTCACACCAAGCCGTCCCGGGCCCGGCGACTCCATGCAGGCGGCAGGCAGCTGGGCAGCTGGGCTGGGCCGGGCAGGGATTTACCCAAGCAGAGCCCCTACGAACCCTGCGCAGGTGCTCTCAGCCAGCGCGGCTTTCTTGGCAGCAGGTGCATCGGTGTCCAGGGGGATTTCTAATGACCAGAAGACACAGAAGCACGTCTTTGCAGGCCTCGGCTCCTTCAGAAGACGGCTTGGGGCAGCACGGTTGCATTTCCCTGTAGCGTGGCCGACATCAAGGCTCATCTGCAAAGATGCCCTCGCACGCCCACTGGATGTTGCGAGGATATTAGTCAACACAAGCATCACAAAGCAACACTAGCTGGTCAAACAATCCGTCATGTGTGCTCGTCGCCACATCCATTGTCGCGAACGAAGATCATGGACATGGACCTGTCGCGAAAGGCACGAATACGTGCCAAGGCCTCCTAGTCGCTCGAGTCGTCAACGAGACCCGGGAAACCTTTGACGACTCCTGCGTAGCCCCACTTTTGCCGACGATCAAGAAGCACGCAAAGCGAAAGTGCGCACGTGAACCAGAGCACCCTGACCCATGCTGAAGAGAGATTGACTTCTGAAGTTTTCGGAAGCTCCGAGCCTGTTTAAGTTGAACTCTGCAGCCCAGGCGACGTCGATCCTTCGGTCGACCGAAGCCGCCTCCCCACAGAGGCCTTCGACGGTCTGCGACCCGTGAAAACCAAGTAGAATGGGAACACCCGACCGGGACAGCTTCCTTTTTGTATCCATTACCGTGATTTCGTGCTGAAGCTTGCCAGGAAAGGGCGTCAGGTGGTTCCTTTGGGGCCTTGGCTCCAGAGGTTCTTCTCCCTTCGGAACAGGCCTTTCTGGCTCTGTCAGACACGAAGGGATTTAGCTTGACTTAGGCTGTCGTCCGTGACCATTGCTGTCTGTCCTGCGGGGCAGTTCCCGGATCAGATTATGCGAACTACGAATCGTATGTGATGATTTTTGCTTTTCGACACTCGGCCTGACGGATCCCATTGCAGAGGCAATTCTGGAACTACTCCGTCTCACCGAGGACACTGCCGTTAAGCTTTGCAGTGTTTTGCGCGATGACGACTGTTCCAGCAATGTACATGTGGCTTAGCACGATTACTGGAATAGCTGTGCATCTTTCCCCCGACATGCTGGCCTTGCACGTCCTCAGAGTGAACGTGATTCACCCGAGATGACAATGGCATTCCATGTTACCATCCTTCCTTCTCAGCTCTTTGCCGTCAAACAGGAACTATTTTTTCGCGCGCAGGCCGGGAGCTACTCTCTGTCCGGGAGGGGTCGTAGGATTGTGTCCTGCTTCGACTGTTGTATATGTCGAGTGAGCGAGCGCCGCAAGTGAAAGACGGTTGAGCACAAACCTGGAGAGGTGGTGTGCTGAAGATTCTCGCCAAGCGATCTTCGTAGCCATCGCAGCTTGCCTACATCGTGGGGCGATTTGTAAGCTAAGCAGGCTCAGGCCGCCATGAAAGAGATGAGATTCAACGTGCCTCTTATCGATACCCGAGCCCAGGTGCATTTAGGGGCTCTGGCTGCTCCCTTCTTCTTTACGTGGAAGGCCCTCAGCCACGATTTTCATGGCACAGCACGAGATGTTGTGGGGACCAGCTCGTGCTGAGACTCCGAAGCCCTGCTCTGACACTTTCCAGGCATTCGCCTGCTTCTGCGCCTTCAGCTCAGTGGGAGGATTTTCAAAACCGTCGCATTGCTGGTTTGCGCTGGTTGCCTTGACCAAGGTTGGCTACGTGATGACAGGCATGGTGCCGGTTGGGGAGCCCACGATGGGAAGCACCTTCCAAACCTCCACGCAAAACGAAGGCATGCTCGGGGTGACGCTGTCGTACCACCGGCAGCTGTCTCATCGGTCGTTCGTCCTTGGCTCAGATTTCAGCTCTGCGATCTCGATTCGTCTGAGTCTGGCATCGGTTGACAAGCTCAGGTGACCCCGAAGTGGTTAGAGCTGCAGCCTCAGTCGGACTTGTGCTTGCCAGGCAGCCGGCTTTCAAAGATTATGCATCCGAAATTTGCAATCATGGAAACCGTGCCCACATGCGGGCAATCCACTATTCTCGGTGTCTCGAACTCGCACCCATCGCCCAGTTCCTTGCATCTTTCCTTCTATGACCACCAGCTGCTCTGTCCAGCACCCCCGTCCTTCCAACAGCCACCGCATGTCTGCGATATCCACGCCCTTTGGCGTCCTTGCTGATGTCCTCAGGCTTCCTCGACTAATTCATCGGATGCTGAGGTATTTTCTCGCCTACTGCGGCGCCTTAGCCGTTCAGGGGCCGCCAATCAGTGGGAGTCTGAGATCGGACAGCAGTCCCTAAACCCTCTGCAAAGACCGTGGAGCTTCGCTTCTGACTGTCAACAGCATCAGTGCAGTCTATCATGCGATATACTACAAGCAGCGGTGGCTCTGTAGTTTCGTCTTCCGCTATGACTTGTGGACAGGTTGGGTATCTTCCCATCGGCATCACCATGGGAACACCGATGCCGAGGATTGCCGGCCCTGCGAGCCAAGCACGTAACGACGTAACTCATGTCCACTTTGTCCACTTGAGGTTTTTCCTGCGGAGAAACTCGCAGGGATGTGAATGTAAACCGCACCAAGGGGGTAGCACCGGGCACATTTTGCAAGAATCTGATCGTGTCTCAACGAGTGCAGCGAGGTGGAAGAGCAGCTTGCTCTACTCAATTTGCAAGCACAGCGTCTCTATTATTATGCAGCGCAGCGAAGTGGAAGAGCAGCTTGCTCTACAGGCGGTCCAATTTGCATGCACATTGTCAGGATGATGTGCACTCTCCTCGCGACGGATTCTGGTGGCCCCACACCTGGCACAACATCAGATGTAGGGTGTGTCGATAAGCCTTTCCCTGCTCTGCTGCTTTAGCTGGCATGTAAGATGTAATGCCCTGCTGGCACTATCTGCAACCAACTCAGAAAAGCATGGCATCGTACGTCATGTTTGAATGTTCGTCGATGCCGAGAAAGAATCTCATCGCCCGCATGCCGTGATAGCCGTCCTTGCCGCACCCAGCGGCGCAGCAAAAGGCAACATGGGCAACTTGGCCGAGGTCTCACATGGGGTGGCTATTTGATGCGGATGGAACAAAGATCCGGCGCGACAAGAAGAACGCATCAGATTTGTCGCACGAGCCCCATTGCAGAGGCTGGGGGTCCATGTGACAGAAATTCGTTGCTCAGGTCGCAGCGGTTCTACCAGTTCCTTCAGAAGACTTATGGTATACACTGCTATTCGGCTTCACACGATTTGGAAAGCATAAGCCAGCAGAAACCTATCACTTGGATGCCACAAAGGTGTGGTGCTGCCAATCTTGGCCCTCTACGCGTACGGCGGTTTGCCCTGCGTTCTGTGGGGCTTTTTCGTTCGCGCAGCCCGGCACGGCACTCCTTGACTAGTCTAGTAGTGCAGACCATATGCGTGATACGAGCTGACGTGCTTTTTCTCTGCAAGAGGTATCTGCTTCTGTAGCCGGTTCTTGATGTTGTCGAACTGAGGTAGTTTGGTGCCAGCCCCGGTATTCAGCATAAGTCAGAGTTGCGGCTGACTGTGAATTTGGGCAGCCTCGGGCTGTGGGCAGGTTCTGGCACATCACCTGGGCTGTAAATTCTGTGACTCGGTCGCAGTGCTCATACCTACAGCCAACCCTCACGAAAGTACTTTCCACCCATGAATAGACTCAATAAGTGCTACGTGTTCTACTAATTATTGCTATTCCTGTTACTGGTATACTATTGCAATAAATAACCCAATAACCCAAGTATGACAACAGAGATTTAAAAAAATCCTACACCCTAATCATAACACTACTTTCCCAGTTTCTATTTGGGAGGGGGTCCCCCCTCCGTTTAATTTAAACGTTTCGCGTACTTGGTATACAACCTCGCGTATTATGTTGGAAGGGGGAGCAAGCTTTGTAGCGAAGTACAAGACACAGCCCCAGCGCCGCCAGGAAGAGACGAGGGAAGCGGAGGGGGGCGTGGGCCAGAGGAGGGGGAGTGGGGGTGCTCCCGGTGACCACTCTCCGCAGCAGAATCTCTGGACGTAGACGTAGGGTCACTGGGATGGGGAAACAGGGAATCCCTGTAAAACACCTCTGACCGCTTCGGCCGGGGAAGGGATTACACTCGTCGCAGTGTGCAAGCGCTGCTTCAGAATCCCAGGTCAGCCACGTCAGGCCCTGAGTCTGGGTCCTTTGTTGCTGCAGGCTTTGGGAGGCCCACGAGAAAATCACAAGATTGCAGTCGCTGGGTGTGCAGAAGATTGAGGTCTGGGGATTTCAAGACTGGAAGACAGGCCGGGCACAGCAACGGTTCTGCTGGAACTTGATAGCTGGTCATGCAAAGTCGGAGCCCCTCCTTCCCAATCCCTGGTTCAAGCCAGGCGATCTCTCGATGAACAACTGGCTTGCGGTTGACTGAGTTTTGGTCAGTCTGGTCGAGTTTTGGTCACGGCTCGCATCCAGACATGGCCCAACTTGGAGGGTGCTGTTAGAGATGTCGCGAGAGCTTGCCAGCTAAGATCGGGATCTTGGCCTTCGGCGAGGGCTGGCACAACAATCACCACGCCTTTGCTGCTAAGCCGCGGATAAATTTTCCTGTTGTGCTGTTCAAGTTCTCCCAAGACACACAAATCGTGCCGTTGAAGGAGCGGTCGTGCCGGCATGGCTTGAAATGGTGGCAGGCCCGGTCGCCCTGGCTTTTCCGTGGTTTAGGGTACACTGAGCCTGGGGCACAGCCCTGCGCACAGGTGGACTTCACTTGGTACACCGTCAAGTTCCTGGAGGCAGTTCAAACTCGATTGTGCCGTGGACGAAGATTGTGCTGACTGCAGCTGAAGGGTTCATGCATTAGCCGACTGGAGATTACACCAGAAGAAGCCGTGTCTGTGTTCTCTGGAGAAATATTGTATCGACAAGAGCAAAGAGACGCTCGAAAGTTCTCGTCCGGTCACTCCGAACAGAATCCACTTCTGCGAAGTTTCCAGCCGCGCATCACGAGCATGGAAACCACGCATCCTCCTCGTAAACCTGTGATTCGAAGTGAATTTGAAGAGGCCTTCGGCTTGGCGACAAAGCTGCAGCCACGTTCTCAGTCATCAGAGTCGATGAAAGCAGCTTTGGGCTTGCCGTGAAGGTATCCCCCCGAGGGCAAGATGCAGAAACTGGCGATGTAACTGGGACAGGAAGGTCCCAACTCTGCGACATGGCTCAAGACATCTCAAGAGCCTGAAGATTTCAGAGACGGCTTGTAACTAAGGGCCTTTTGCAACCTCGCATGCCTCAAACCTTGGGAGTGGTAGACTGCAGACTTGCGGCAGGCTTTCAGCAAATCTTTCAGGAGCTGAAAATGCAGTGACCCCTGGCCGCGTCCCTTGCGCCAGTGCAAAATCTCGGCTGCAAATCAGCAGCTGCTTCTCATGAGCATCGTCGATTCTGGACGTAACGCGACGGTACCTCTTGGTTGCGGCTGGAGCAGCACGCAATGGTCTCTTCAGAGCGAGGTGGGAGACCATAGTCGACAGTTGCCGTAAACGATGATGTCTAGATGGTCGGAGTGATTGGCATTATTTCTTCCTTGCACTGTCACTGTGATCAACGGTCTCCCCACCCCTGCGCCTGGCCACATTTTCAAGCAAACTGGGTGAGAGAGCTTACCTGTTAAACGGGCTGTGCAGCCAGCAATGCCTGCTTTCGACAAGAAGCAGATGAAACGCGGAAAACATTGCCAGCATTTCACCACCGTTTCCTTGCCTTTGCTCGAGCCTTGATGTTGCTTGAGCTGGTTTTCCTTAAAAGATACAGAGATGTGTCGTCATCCTTTCCCCTTTCGATGACGCCCAGGTCAAGCTGTCGGAGAACTGGAACCTGAACTGGCACAGGTACAACATCACCGAAACTGGCGAAGAGGCATCTGCCGCCGAGCTGATCCGCGTGTGCTGCATTGCCCTGTAGTCTTCGAGAGCTTGATTGCTCTGGAGGCCTACGAAGTGAACTGCTGCCGTGGCGGCAGGGGCTTCTACTTCATGCACGAAACCCAGGTCGCGATCCATTGAATACAACAGAAGAAGGCAGGAGTATTTGTATGTGTCTGCAGCTCTTCGGGCTCAGGACACTGATTTGCACAGTAAATTTGCAGACCCCACATGAGGTCAAGTGCTCTTTATGTAGTGCGTGGTTGCACAACTCCGTGCTTCCTTCGGGCGTTTTGGGGCAGACTAAGTAAGACATACACTTGCAAATGCACGACAAACCCAACTCCCGCGCGCGATGTTGGTGCTCATGCGTCCACATCGCTGGCGAAGGCTAGACGAAAGAAAGCAAGGGCAGCATGTTGCACCTTTGCCGGGCCTCTACAATCTGATAAACTGCTCGACAGCTCGCGCAAGATGCCCATGACAGGTTGGCCGCCTTGGGAGTCGGATGGAGGGCCCTGGCCAAAGCGCCGCAAGACCTGAAGGACTGCTGGGATCTTCCGGGAAGTGCACTCGGACCTCACCCTGCCCCTGTGGGTTGGTGGCACTTGTTTCCATACATCCAGCCTGCATCTACAGATCAGTTTTGATTAGCCTGCAGCGTGAGGACGTCTTGCTGGATATCGGCTTCCCTGCCGACGGTGTGGGGCGAGTCCTCGGGAAGCTTCAGCCGCTGCCGTGCCAGCATGGGGCCACGGCTGCAGCGAAGGCACTGCGGATGCAAGAGGAATGTTCAGCAGTGCAGCAGCAGCCGAAGTAGCAACTGAGCGCAGCAAGCAAAAGAGCAGGGCAACAACGACAGCCCTCGCACTGCTATCGCCAGCCCTGTGCTTGAGGGCAAAGCTCGGGATCGCGAGAGCAAGCTTGGTCAATCAAATTCTTGCGTGGTTTCTTGTACATCTCAACCTCCCAGCATACTCCATCATCCAGATCCGTGGCACTTGCATTTGTTTGCACAGGGGACAGGAGATGGCTCCATAAGGCTCTCGTTTTCGATGTGTCAACTGCATGTCTTCGATAGTGCGGATAATGCTCCTGGCAGGGCTGCTTGTACTTCTGCATCGCTGACCTTTCCAGAGTCGAGTGGAGCTTGCTAAAGCCAGCAGGTGCTGCAGCTGCTGCACTCGTGGTCTGTCCCAGACGAGGTGCGAGTGGTTGACCGCCTTCATGTCATACTCACACACTCTCTTGCTCTCGTCTTCTTTGTCTTTCCGCCTCTCTGCCTCCTTGTGTGTGGTTTCTCTAAATGTCTTTTCAGACGCTTCGAGCTGCCATCGCGCGCCATCCGGAGCTGCTAGCCGCGACACTGGCAGAACTCCAGGCCGAAAGATTGGGCTGACTCTGGCCGAAGTGGATCTTAGGCTTATGCATCTAACCGTGAGCTCAGGCCACTGCTGAAGCACTCCAAGCCTCGCTTCCGAGAGACGTGCTGCTCGGCCAGCCGTTCGATCTTCAATCGTTTGCTGAATAAAACATTTTCGGCCAGCCTCCACTCCCCTCAAGTGCCCTATCAGCCCAAAGAAAGCATGAGATTGAAAACGACAAGGTTCAGTGAGCTGGTGCAGAAGTTCCCTGAGGCAGGCGGGTAATTGTTTTAGTCTCACTCGGTCTTAGTGTGCTTTGTGACATACTTCCTGGAGCGCGAGTTTCTTTATGTCTGCCAAGAAGACGTCGTTGTGAGACAATAGCTATTTCTACATTCGTGCATTCACGAAGCCGCATGAATGTTTGCATGTATGTATGCAGGTGTGTGTGCATGAGGTGTATGTAAGTTGATGCATATGATATGTATGTATGTATGTATGTATGTATGTATGTATATATATGTATATATATATGTATATATATTTACTTACTCAAATATAACGGTATCTTTAACGATCTACTTATCTAGCTATGTATCTATGTATCTATCTATCTATCTATCTATCTATCTATCTATCTACGTATCTACCTATGTATCTATCTATTTATCTATCTATTTATCTATCTGTCTATCTATCTATCTATCCATCTATCTACGTATGCATAGGAGCCTTTCACGTGTGTGGTCGAAGCGAGCTGCAAGTCATGCTTTTGGATCCATGGACTTCCAGAAAGCCGGCTCTGCAAGCCCAGGTGTTGCTGGCGGGCCGGTCAAACGTGGCGGAATTGCAAGAGCTTTTCAGTTCATGGGGCCTGCCCTGGGAGGAGGCCTTCTAATGAGACGTTTTTGGGATGCATGCTGCGCTGGGTATTTCAGGCCACGTGTCACTGGTGACGGCTGGCGATTCATGCTTTTAATGCAGGCAATCGTGGAAGCCTTCTTTCCTCGAGGGATGTGGTGGCAGGTCCTCCTTAGTAGTGTGGTTACTTGGGCCAACATTTGTCCCCGAACCGAAACCGGCCTCTTGGCCTTGTTCTGCTGGTTCTTAGGGATGAGACATTTCATGCGTGGAGGCTGCAAGACGGGCGCCGAGACTGCTGCTGCGCATGCCGGAGGACGCCTTACAGCATGAAGCCTGCAGACAAGATCGATTTTGGGGAGGATGTGGGAGGCCAGAGCGTGGGTGGCTGGATGTAGCACACTTGTGCATGATTGATAAGTTGGTTGCTATGGAGGATTTGTCCAAGCTCCTCCACTTCCTGCGCAAAGATCCGCTTGCCCGGCCGGTTTGACATTAAGCAGCAAAGGGAACTGTTCAGGAAACATCGTGGACCTTGGCATGCCTTGGCTTGTCGTTTTGTATTTTGTTTGGCCAGTCCAATCCAAACATCGTTTGTTTGTTGGGGTCGTACAACTCGGCAACGTTGACTCAACCCAGCCCGTGGGTGGTGTGTACGTATAATAATTATAATATATTCTGCCCAGTATGTCACGCGCTCTCACGCGAAGCTCAAAACTGCACGGAATGTTTCATAGCTTGTGCCAAAATCGATAGGATCGAGAAGCAAGCATTTTCAAGCCAGGCTGGGTCCGCAGCTCTCTGCCGACCAGCTAGCTCATGTGGCGCAACCCTTACACAGCGTGTCCAGAGGCTGCCGCTTGTTCCAAAATACTCGAAAGTGCCTTGGGCTTTCTTTGTTTTGACAAGGCGAAAAACTATCCGATGCTCCTCCTTGGGACATTGGATGCTGAGCGGCAGCTGGCTCCACTGGTGCAATTTTTGCCAGGGGCCCGGCATTTCCCCACAAACCTAGATCTGAGGAATCGCATGATACGGTATCTGTAGTCGAGTCGAGTTCTGCCAGAACTTCCCAAGTCAAGTTGAAATGTTGGCATTGCCCAGCTCGGTCTCGGCCTATGGGGAATCTAAAGACAGGGCTTTGCCAGAGGTGCCCTGGCAACCCACTACTTGGCATGACACGTTGCTCACACAGGCCTCATGACAGGAAGGGGAGTGTCAGAGAAAAGAGGTACGTTAATTACGATCCTGGGTGGTATAGGCTCCTTCTTACAATGCCCTCGGACTAATTTCATGCAATTCCACCGAACCTCCTTCCCAATTTTCGGATCTTGCTTGGACCAAGGCGCCACTTTCTTGGAGTTGATCCCGCTAGCTCGTAGCTCGGCAAAGAGCGACGGGCTGAAAGCCCGGACAGACGGATGCCCCGGGGCGACAGTCTATAAAGTTGTCGGGGCATCTTGCTGATGGTTTGAGGCAATGCATCGGGCTGTATGCCTGGCCAGATTCACTCGCTGTTGTCGAGCCAACTGTTGCTCGGAAGACTTGGAAGAAACTCTCGATTTGAGCTAGTATACTCCCAGCTGCCCCAGCTTGTGGTCATTTTGGTTCTTTCCGCCCTTACATAGTTTGTTCCACTCTGCCAAGTTGCATCAGTCAATGAGAAACAAATCTTCAAAAATGAAAACTCAGCCCATATGTGAAGATCGGATGTTGCTTTCAACTGAGGCTCGCTTCCTAGTGGAAGACTGTGGTTACCCGCTTGAAGAGCTTCGGGAAGATGTTGCACTCCTGGGGCACCACACCGGCAGACACTCGTGTTGTCATGTGTTGTTTGGCTCAGCTTCCTTGTAATATGTCGCTTCGGGATGGGTTCAATTCAGGCATGGCTTCACAGGTCCCATTGTGCCGTGACATCGTCCAGCAAAGCATGCAACGGAAGATAGGCCAATAGTTCACGCTTACAGGACTCCCGATGCTGCCTCCCAGGTATTCATTTGAAGCACGAGTGCACCCACGGGGCCGCTACGTGCAGCATTTGGGTATGGCCCGATTGCCACTCAAGGCCTTGACGGCTGTGGATGTGGCTCGACGTGACCCTAACAACACACATCACTCCATGGACCCGACGGCCCCTTCGCTCATATAGTTAGGCTCGGCCAGCTTCCTGCAGTCAGGACAGTCACTTCTGCCAAATGGTGGATGCCGGCAAAGACGAGTACCTGGCATTTATGTTTCAGTTGCGGAGAACCGCGCGGAAGGAGCAAAAGCAAGAGCGTTCCTGCTTGAGCTCACGGACCTTAGAGATGACATGAAACGCGGCTCTATATGTGAATTACTGTAACTGTTCTTGAAAGAAGGGTCACCTCGTCGGTGAGAAGTCGACGACCGCCCAGGCTTTACAGCCGGCGTGTCGCTCTGGACCCGAAAGGCCGGGGCCCGGGCCCTTAGGTCGGAGCTTAGAGGAAGGAGGGAGCTTATGGGGTTTAGGACCAGGAGTTCAGGGTTGGGGAGCTGTAGGGTTTTGGGCTTTAAGAGAGCTTGGCCTCGCTGAGCTTCCAGGCTCGAGAGTCGCCCTCTCCTTCGGCCTGCCCATCAGGCCTGGGCTTCAGTTCTTTTCTTTTTTTTCTTTTCACCGCCGCATTCTGCCAGCTTCCAATCCTTCTCTGGCCTCGGCTTGTCGCAGCTCCGATATTTCAGTGGGATCTTGTCTTAGGTAGGTGTGATGCTGGCCAAGGTTGTACAGCCCACACAGACGCGGCCCAGAGCCAAGAGGAAGAGCAGGAGTCGGTCAGTTGCCGGGGATGGAGGGTGAGAGCTCAGGCTTTCTAGCGGCAAGCTGCTCGCTAGAGCCAGGCTCTCAAGCCAGACTGCTCATCAAACGTCATGTGACTTGGCTGTTGGCTGAGGAAGAAGGCTCCTTACATGCGTGCCGTTCGGGACGAGACATTGGACATCCGCGAATTCTGTGCGAAGGCGCAATTGCGCAATTGCCCATTCCGGCGCATCCTCTTAGATCGTAGAGGAGTTGTTGAGCTTTTTTCTTGTGAGCAGCGTGGAGGCCTAGCGATGGTGTTCGAAGTCCTTGCTGCCCCTGTTCAGTAGTGTGGCCTTTCTGTCGAAGTTTCCGACACCAATACTTTTTTGTTTTCGGTGTTGCTACTAGCAAATACTATCGAGCTTGTTTTACTAACTACAAGCTAAATTGATCTATGCGGAAAGGTGACATTCCGGAAAGAACCGTTGCGGTTCTGTCGCACTCGAATGCAGAGCTGTATTTCCAGCCGTGGAAAAAACGTACCAGGCAAAAAGGCCAGGTGATCAACCATCGCAAATGCTCTTTGTCTTCCACCAGTATATTCCCCACGCAATGCAGGCACACACTTCCAGGATGTGCGAATGGCCCATGTCGATGTTGACAGTAGTTCGTCAATGCAGCTGCATCTAGTAGTTATCATGTTGAAAGAATAGTCGTGCATCGCAGCATGGCTGCGACTGCGAACGTGCTGGTTCCAGCTTAGCACGGCCATAACCATGTGCAAACAGTGTAGCGCATCGTCGTGTAACTTAATCTCAAGTCTCGAGCTGTCGTGCAGTGTTATGGAACCAAAGATGACGCAGCTTGGATAGCGTGGTGCGGCGCGTTGTGTTGCCTTGGTTTGATGGTGTCTTGTCGTATCTGACCTCATTGGATGTATTGTCTGCGCGGGTGCCTATATGCACATGTACATGTGCTTCTATGCCAGAAGCGTGATCCTGATTTGCACCAGTGTGCGTGCACCTATGTTGTAGACGGTTACGAGGGCCTGCAAGCGTGCATCCATGTCGATCGTGAGTGCACGTACGGGCTGTTTGCCGAAGAATAATTGCAGTTGTGTGCTGTGACGTACATACGCACATGCATAACCGAGCCGTGTATTTAATGACTTTCAATGTAAGCGACCTCGGTTCAGGACAGTGGCTCTGAGCAATCCCCGCATCTGTAAACATGGGGAAGCAATGTCGGAAAGATATAAAAGGGGCTTCTTCCCAAAGGTCCTTTGTCGAAGTTGGAGATTTTTGCATCGGGAGGCCACACGTGACATCTCACCATTATGTTCAGGGCATGGTTATTTTCGGGTCGCTCTCCCTTCCGATTCTGTGAGCGCAAATCCACCACAGAAACGAAGCTTCGCCCTGTGGAAAACTGGAGCCAGCTCGAGATGATGACATGGCTTGCGCGGGAGGGGACTGCTTCGAAGTCAGAAAGCTTGCCAACACAACATGGCTTGGTAAGCCGGACAGCAAGAATTCACGAACAGCAGTAATATCTGGCGTGCACAGTCTCCTGCTGCGTCGCCATGAGCTCGTGCAATCATGCTGGCGTTGCAGCGGTTGTCCACCAGACAACAGTAACAAGGCGTTTCCCGGAAGAATTTGTCCGGTCGAACTTCAATTCGACCGGAGAGAAATGGACTCGGATGTTTCACATTGCCGTTTGTTACTGAGGCAAAACATTTCCACGGTCTAGCTTCGTCAATTTAGCAGTGAGGGACAGGTCAGAAATTGCGTTTCATCGGAAACGCATCACAAAGTTTGAGATGCATTTACAAATCCCTGCATTTTCCTTCAAAAAGTGCCGAAAAGTACAAGCTGAGCTTTACATTTCCCCGCAAATCCCTGCATTTTCCTGCAAAGCCGTTCCGCGTATTGCCGGAATTTACAAATCCCCGCATTTTTCTGCAAAATGCCCCGTCCGTCCTATGCAACAATCCAGCTCCCTGATGCGTTTGTCGCTTGCAGGTACCTAGAGTACCGAATTGTCCAGACTATAGCAACAGGATTTTCCCCTACAGCTATCCCCAATCTTCTCGTTGCTGCCAAGCACTGTGGTTTGGACAATCTGAAGGCAGCACAAAGGTGACTCCCAAGCCACTTTTTGAATGTGATGGATATCGGAACCCTTTGACGTCTGGAGCCTCTAATAGGATGCTTTGGATATGATGCTGAGTATGAGCTCCTCAGGAGCTTCTGTTGCTGTGTTAACTGCCATCATCCTCGCCTGACCCAGTCGAACGCGAGTGCTAAAAATACCAGAAAGAGTGGCGTAGCTCTACTACGTTGCTGTCTGCATCCGGAATCACTCGTGAGTTTCGTCACCTTGCCAGTCGAACGCTTCTCTTCCTTCCTGGGCCTTCGTGGCCGCTATGCCCTTGTCACGCTTGGCTTGGCGATCGGACGCACTGGCAATCTTCTGTCCCAAGTCGCTGAGCTGTCTTACGGTGTAGCTATGTTTCAGGCCAGAAGAAGCCTCGTCCTAGCATTTGTGTTTCAACACTGCTTCAAAGAATAAGTGTTGGCAAAACATCCCCTGTGAGCAGCCACCTCGATCGTCCTGATCTTTTGTGGGTAGACGCCGATTTACCAACCCTGTTGTAGTTGTGGCAACCTGAATCCTGAAAAAGCTCCTTTTTGCAAGAGCCCCCTTTCGGGTTTGCCGACGATGGTTTGCCAGAATCAGAAGAAGTGCTGTGTTGGGACGCTCCGCAACACAGGCATAGGACAACAGAGTTATCGCCTTTCGGTGGTAGAACAATGCCTCGTATGCAGTGTCGCTTTAAGTACAAGTTAGGAAAAACCACGCAGCAAACGACATGAACTGCAGTCGACAGACACAGGAAGTCGCACAGCGTCTCCAAACGAGCACTGAAATCTTCCGGAGCAGTCTTCACCACTCTGGTACAGGGTGTGCCGCCGACAGTTGTCTGTCTGCAGATATTGTGTCGGGAGCGTTCGTGTCGCCCTCTGCTAGGACATCTGGGTGATCGAGCCGGTGTCGCACGAATTCTTGAAGGAGCATCTTAAATGGACAGCTCATTCGTAGCGTCTCAATCTTGCAATTGTCGAGGACACGGGCATCGAGTACAGCATCACGCCGTGTGCTAGGATGTTGGCATATTGGTAACCAGGGCACTAGGGGACCCTAAATGAAGTCAAGTCGATCATGCGAGCGACTGGGTCGAGGCCTGTTCTGCTTCGCCACCTGGGCAGTGGGCCATGGGCTGAGGTAAGATGGGACGAACGCACTGTTTGCGAAGTGGCCGTCGTGTGTGCCAGCATGACCTTGAGGTATTACCTGGCCATCTCCGAGGCAGACCTGCAAGAAAAAGACATCATCTACAACAAGGCTCGAAGCTGTCGGCTTCGAGGTCTGAGGCTAATCAGAAGCCTTTCGGATCCTTAGAGCATCGTAAACTCGTACTGTCACATCTCAGTAAATGTCAGTAGAGTGCGCATTTTGGACTTCCACCTCATGCGACACGAATTTCATCAAGAGCAAGATGCTGGCCATTGCGATATGGGTCCGTTGCCATGCATTAACACAACGTACTGGTTTTGAAGTAACTAGTAGCGGCCGAGGAACTTATTCCCCTGAAAGTGTTTTGCTGTTTGCCCTGCTGTTTCGAGGAATGAGAGAAGTTTCCCCCGAAAGACTGCAACTGATTAACAAGAAAGGTTTGCGCCAAAGTTCTTCAGCTTGGAAGTTCAGATGGGTAACTTCGTGTGCGGCCCGCTAGCCCTGAATTGTTTCGTGAAGGCGCAAGATCTGCAGCTCGACGTTCGCTGGGGCTGAATTTGTCGTTGAAGGTTTGCAACCCCTTTCAACAGTGCAGCTGCGTGGAGGGGTTGTCCACATGATATTCGACTCTGCGGCCTCACACCCTCAGACTGATCGCTGCGGCAGAGTGCGCATTGCGTTTCGAGGATGACGTCCATGGTAAGTCCACAAAGGGTGCTGGCCTACGCCTCGGTGTCGCTGAGGGATCCCCAGGGACGCATTCTCAAGTCCGTGGACTTGCGATTTCAGTTCTGACATGTCCGAACGAACAGGAACTCGGGGGAATGAGTGCATGCTCCTGTCAATCCTTGACATATCCGCCGCGCTTTTGGGGTTCTCAGTTCCCAGCCTGGGAACCTGCTGCAGCTTAGTTAGCATGACTTCCACTGAGAAGCCGGGTGAGCACAGAAATGGAGCGGCGTCGATCTGCTGATTGGGAGAATAGCTTCAATGTTGATGGTGTTGGGATCGCGTCTTTGGGTTGCATTCTGGGTTACGTGCGTGGACGCTGGTACAATCAATGTCCTGATGACCCTCGGCAGCTCAAGTCGTGGAATTTCTGGGTTACCAGGTTTGCAGCACATGTCGGTGTTTCGGGCAATCTCAGAGTTGGTCCAGACTGTAGTTCTGTGTGGGATCTCTGAGCGTTGGGAGACTTGAGACGAGGGAGAACCTGCAAGTCACGGGGTCGAGATTGGGATGGCGAATTAGGACAGACTCCGTGTTGCGCGATGGTGTGCGAGGAATGGCAGTGCATCCGAAACAAGACTTTACGAGCGACTGAAGGCCAGAAAGTGATTAGACCTTGTTTCTCCAAGCCTTGCCCTTGGTGGCCCTTCGGAACACGACGGCAGTGGGACTGCGGGGACTGCAGACGGCAAAACGAAGAGCCGCCCAAAAGTGGAAGACCCCCGTAACCAACTCCCACCTTAGAACGAATTTTCTCCAGCCGGATCGCGCGTCCTTGTCACTGACTGCTTTTCTTTTCTTCGGGAGGATTGGGCTGTTAATCAGAAGCGGAACAGACCCCAGATATGTCTTCTACCAGGGTCCTGGTTGAATTTAATTTCGAGCCCAGAAGTCAAGACCTCATGCAGCCAACATGCTTCAGCGGTGTCTGCGCGGAAGCAGGCACACCCAGACAAACCTGCGCACTCCCGAGGCGTAAATGAGCCCAGTCCGAGCCTGTCGAGCATAGGAAGGTGCATTCAAAAGTGCAAAGGAGACAACGTGCACAGTCGGAGACTCGCCCGCCAGCGCATTGTGATCGATCGCCCCAACATCCTGCAATTGCTGTAACTACCGTAGTTACCCAGACGGGCACGAGTCTGTGGCAGACTTACCATAGACGTTACTCTGGACACAGCTGCTTCAATTCGCAAAAATCCTCGATATGCACAGCCTGAAGCTGCTCGCGATGTTCACGTGATCACGGGTGGATAGAAGAGGGTGCACACTGCCCCCTTTTTGTTGTCGTGTTTGTTGCGGGCCAGACATCCTGAGACGATGGATTCTAGGCAGACTGTCGGCCCCTCAAAACAGGGCAAGGTCACATGTTTCGTGTGTGTATTTAAGTGTGCGGAATCAGAAGCTGTCGGCCTGCTTTGGACGAAGCAAGGATCCACAACGCTCTTCAAGACAATGTGGGCTGGAAGGATGGCTTCCTGAACTTCTTTGTCCCGTTCTTGAATAGTCAAGGTGGCTTTACGATTACAGGTGATGACCAGTCGCCTTACTTGCTGAATGCGTCTCTTTGCGAATTCGACATTGCAGATATTGCAGGCAACGGTGATCCGAGTACAACGTCCACTGTTCAAAGCTGTCTCAGCAGAGCAGGTGATGTGGATGTCATTGTAGTTGGTACTTCTACTGGAAACGATGACATCAAGCAGTTGGGAGAATCACTCCAGATTCCTAACTTGCATTGCTCCGGAGGCAACCCTGCTCAATGGACTGGCGCAACACCGCATGCATTTGGAATGCACCTGCCCTTTCCGTGGTATTCCCGCGGACCCATGAGGAGAGCTGCCCTGCAAGGATTGCAACGTGTCGTAATCATTCGCAACTACGACTGGGGCTTTCCTCGAACATCAGCAGTGGCAGCAGCGGAATGGAGCTTGGAATCTTCGATGACACTGATAGGTCCCACGTTGGAGTGGTGCCACCAGTGGGCCAACATGACCCAGACGTGCCGGATCATAAACTCTTCTTGCCGCTGCGGGGAGCAAGTCGAATTCGATGCCCTTGGATACAAGTACCAGGTTGCCAGCATGCCGAGCTTCTATGAAGTGTCCGAAGCGGCCGTGGTGGAAGCCGGGCTGAACCCACGCAATGAAGTCGTCTCCCCTGCCCTGATTACCTTCGTAGAGGGCATCATAGAGGATGTCCGTCGACAAGGGCAGGATCCAGACATGGTTGTGAACTGGTTGACTTCGGCCCGAAGTGGATTGGTGGCCATGCGTCAACGCAAGTTTGCTTTTCAGATGTATTTTGGGGGACCCAACGTTGCAGGAATTGCCTGGAACGGCTATGAATCTTATTGGCAGAATGGCACTGTAGCACTTGGCACCGCCGATGCCCTGTACAACATTGGTGGCGGGCAATGGCACCACGGTGGCTTGGGCATGAGCTTCGGGTCATTGGGGTGGGTTGCATCGTATAGCTGGCGGTCCCCACCAAGGAATGCTCTTTTCCGATCCTTTCTTTGGCAGTTCCAGTGAAATGGTGCGCCAATTCTCGGAGCTGTTCGCACGTCCTCCAAGCTACGATGCTGCAGCTTGCGCTAGTGCAGGAATCTTGGCATCTACAAGTAGATTATTCGACAGTCTGCCATGGGCAGACCCTCATGCACACCGCAATTGCAGAAATTACTTTGCTATAGATAATATTAGACACATCGTCAGGCAAGACGGATTAGTGTCAGTTTTTGAGCGTTGTGACGATGCTGCAGGTATAGCTCTTGCGCTCTCATTACAGAGATATGGGAGGCCTCTGCCAAGCACTCTTGAAGCGCGACGTGAAGAGATTCGGCTCTCCATTGGTAACCTGAACGATGAAACGCTCTTCGGGACGCTGCGTTTCAATCGTCCTGTGCTTAGTGTTCGCGCTATCAGCAAATTTCCGACGGAGGGTTGCCTGCAGATGCACCTGAAGTTCCTCACCTCATGCTTCGCAGCAGGCTTCAACCAGAACAATGGACGACTTACCGTAAGCTGGCAGGCTCCTTGGCAGCCATTTCAATGCAGCTTCGGGAAGGTATCCCTTTGTTGGAGCTCATGCACGAGAGAGGCATCGGTAGCCGCAGCCATATTCAGTGCTTGCCGTCGCTTCTTACTTACGCAGTGCTGTTGCATGTGTCGTGCCGAACCTGCACACATTGCATGCCAAGGTGCTGGAAGATGGCACTACAATGCGACCCGGCACAGACATAAATACAGCGAGTCAAGGTTCTTTGTTTTCGACACTGCCGACCGGTGTCAAGTTGCATATTCAGGCCCGTTCTTCCTGCCGAAGCCGCGAGCACCGAGTTTCGCTTCCCGGCGCCTTCTTGGGAGGCAGATGGCTTCTGTGGATTCTTGTGGACGTGTTGTCCTCGACCCCCATGTCCTCACACAGGGTGGGCAGTTTTAGGTGCAAGTAGTCGGGCCTGTGCTTCCAGACCCTTGTCCACTTGCGCAGAAGCTGAGAAAGGAAGGGAAAAGTCGCTGCATCCGAGAATCCCCGAAAGACGAGCAACGATTGGGCAAGTTATCGAGGTATGTGTGTGCGTGTGGCCCGGAAGGAATTCTACCTATCGACACTAGAACTATCTTAGCTGTAGTCGCCAAGCCTTGGCTTTATTTTGGTAACGGCGGTTGCGGTTGGCAACAGGAGCACCGCGGCCACCACGCGCAATTCCTCAAGTGATATCGGGCTTGAGCGCTGTGTCGTAGCGTCCAGCTGCCAACGCAACGGTTTTGGGGTCATTGGCCTCGGTAAAGATCTGAAAGGCTTTTTGTATTTGTTCAAGGAGCCAGGGTCATGTCAAGCTTCTCGTCAACATTCCGCTACGTCTTTGAATGTCTTTGATTGTGTTGACCTTCACCTCTTTTTGCGGTTGCTTCACAAGACATGCGTGTGGCTTTCTCGGAGAGGTACGTTTGGGATGCCCATCAGGGTCGTATGCCGCAGCAATCACCCAAACAGACTTAGTCCCCAAGAGATGCTCCTTGGTCGAAGAAGCGGTGTTTCGAAGAGGGCGGGCACCATTGGTTGATCCTTAGAGACATAGATCAGACGGAAGCTGAGGCAGCCTTTGTCCGGAGGGCACCTACCGCTCTTTGCCAAGCAATGGGCTGGTTTTTTCGGTGTGCCAGCAGTGCGAGCTTGGGACTGGTTTGCTGCCCGGAGTTACGGGGGCTACTACATGCAGTGCTTGTCCGGCTGGACGAGAGCAACGGAGCGAGGCCCATAGGGGGATCTGCCACAAGTGCCCAACAGGTCAGTTTCGGGGAGCCAACAGCTCCGACAAATGCGAGCTGTGTCCAGCCGGAACGTATGCTGATGAAGAAGGGCTTGCTGAGTGCAAGGTGTGTGCTGTGCTGTCATCGCAACCTGATGTTGGCCAAGCCGCCTGCCGGTGCGAC